CGCACTTCTAATGCACTGAACGACTATATTCATCGCATTTAATGGAGTTTGCGGCTGTCACTTTCCTTGGCAGAAAGTTTAGATAGATGAGACAGTAGTCCTCATCATTGTCAGATGGTAGATCCTCCTTAACATAAAGGTGCCCACAACCGGGAATGACAGTCATTTTTTAAAAAGACCAACACATTTTGTGATGCAGGATTTTGGTTAAACACGAAGGTAAATCACAAAATATAATGACAACACTGCAAAAAAAAAAAATAAACCCTTCTTTTCTGAACGAATCTACACCCATATGTTGCTCTTCGAAAACAATAAAAAATTACTTTTTTATTTATTTAATGCAAATTTTCTTTATTATGCTCACAGCTATTACACAAATGCATATATTTGTTTCGTTATCAATACGAAAAGTCCGTATTGTCAACGAACACGACTTGCAATACTTAGATCAGTAAAGTCTGCTTGCCGTCGAAGTTTACGTAGGGGTGCCCACAACCGGCGCACTTCCCCTATAAGTAATTCTTATTCCGTAGAAAATGACCTTTAAAATAAGCCTAAGATTATTAAAAAGCGTTCATTATTTTAGAAGTTATTCAAATTTTTGTGAAACATTGAAAATGACGATTTTTAAGAATATCTTCTACAAATTTTGGCCAAATGACTTCTCACGGTGCGCCTTAACTAAAATTAAATAAAAAGGTCTTACACCTAGAAAATTAGTAGATATTCTGAATTTACAATGTTCATAGATAAGAAAAATCAAAAAACTAAAATAATCTGTGGAGAGATTTTGAAATAAATCCACTTTAAACATTTTTGCGCACGAAGTACGATATTTTGGAAAATATGGCATTGTTTATTTATATGAATAGGAAGGACCTTGTTTTACTAATGTGCAAGCAGTATCGCTGTCGATATTTTCAGGCCACAAACCTGGATCAGCGCTTACAATTTTGTGAACGATCGATATTGATTGTGATGCATTTTCAATATATTCTGTGTTAATAGAGTCATTTAAAGAACTATCCTGAATCATTTTATTCTCATTACTTTCTTTATGTAATTCTAATGTCTCCAATGTTAAATAGTTTGTTGACTCTGCCGCTGTTTCACGAATTTCAAGATCATCTACATTGCTCGAAGTTGTGCTCACCCATTTCGTGAGATTTTCCCATATACCACACAAATGACTCAGTGAAATTTTTTTTATTCAATATATAAGTTAGTTTTACCGAAAAAGACTTTGTCCAAAAATTTCCGGCACGTAGGTTTATTATTTACAAAGAAAAACTAAAAATAGTTATTTATGATACAAGTGCGTAAAATCGTTGATGACACGAGTGTGACGTTTGCAGCTCGTACCGAAGGCAAGTGCTGCAAGTCACACAAGCATAATCTAATTTACGCACGAGTGTCATACAAAATTTTTTGCAACACTAAAACAACTAAACTTGCAGCAATATTGCCAATATTACTGAAAGTTTAGGTGTAGTGGGGGAACTGTTAAATGAAGTTTTCTAGAAGCTAAAATAAAAAATGTGATTGTAAATTGTTGTTTAAAAGCATTAATTCATGGTTTCTCATCAAACAGTCACAAGATTGCGTAAAGTAATCATTTTACGCACTGAAAAACACATTACACACTGCTAGCGGTATGTAACTATTTTAACTAAACTAACTAATTTTAATAACTAAACTATTTTTTTTAAAGTAGCACTTTACACACCGCTATAAAATGAAGTACTTTAAACAGTTTTCTATGTGTAAAATTCAATTTTACAGGTTAATGTTGCAAAAAACTATTTTTTACGTACAAAACAAAAAATTTTGTGGAAATATAATAAAGTTTTTTTTATTAAAATAGGAAGTTTTAAAAATGAGTAAACTTTTGATTTATTTCGCTTAGTGTGCACTGAGAGAAGAAAAGCACAGATTCTGAAATGGAAAAGTTGAGCATCTGTACTCCAATTGAACGCAGCAGCAGTGCCACTGTGTGATAGGTGTCGTGCTAAAATGTGAAACGGATTTTGACTTTGGCTTGAGGTACAGATGTTGTACTTCAAATGCTACTGTTTAGAAGTACAGTATCTGTCGGTCGCTATGAAACAGATCCTGTACTAATTAGTTCGTACCGCCGCCGCGCTGTTTGAGCATAGTATCTAAACTATGAATGACACCAACTGAATAAAATTAAAAACGGACACTGACATGCATTTTACACGGCCGGTGTTTGTCACAGTACGGATTCTGTGCTTTTCTTCTCTCAGTGTGTCAACTTCAATATTCCGATGTGATAAAGAATTTTAAAGTCTTGCATAATAAATATATTATAAACAATTTTTGTTGGTGAATGTCATGTAAATACAGTGAGTGCGGCATCATTGAACCACCCGAAAAAGCAAAGAATTTCAAATTTTAAGAGTTGTAAAGTTGTCTGCTCGACTAATTAGTAAAAAAAATACTGGAAGACACGCTTTTATCACAATTGTCAACGAGATAAACTTAAACTGTCACTTTTGCTACGAAATCTGACATCGAAATATATTAATATCCTATATTAACAAATAATAACTATTTAACAACAATTTTCTGTTTTTTTGAGTGGAAAATAAGATTTTTTACAATGTATAAGTGGAAATATTATTTTTGATGTAAGTTGTAGTGTTTCATTAGAGGTGGTTCAATGTAGACACAGATACTTCAAAATAAGAAAGTGTAACTGGTTAGAAAAAAATTAAATTTCATTATTTAATTATAATAATTTGTGTTTGTATCGTGTGTATTAACTAAAGGAATACTTCAGTTTTATTTTGATACAAAAACCTGATCAAAATTTGTAAAATTTAAATAAATCTTGGACTTTAGAAAAAACCCGGTTCAATGTAGCCTACTCTCCCGTACAACTATTGATATAGACGATTTTAACACACAAATGTAACTTCTCCTTTTTTTCGCTTCCCTAAATTATTTTATTTTCATTTCAAATAAAAAAAGTTTATTCATTTAATATATTAACAGATATTTCAGAAGTAAACTTTTATAATTTTTATAAAAAAAATTGTAGAAACATAAATAAGATATGAACAATAGATTCAGTAAGGAAATTTACATTTTTCATGCATATAACTTTTCTAATTAATTTTTAATAAATTTATTTATTTAAATCGGAGCCCTTATCACAAGAATAGGGAATACAAAAATAAACTATAAATTATAAAATTTAACAAACTAATGCAAAAAAAAGAAAATTAAACATTTGTGCATTTAAGTTACAGCTACATAAAAAGAAACTAGTAGATGAAGAAGGTAGTTCATTAAGAAACGGTTGATAATGTCTACTAGTTAATCTTGTAATTTTAAAATTTAAGAAGTTTAAATATTCTAGACAGTCAATGATTAAATTCTTAGCTGACCAATCAATTAACTTTCTACTTGGTACTAGAAGGAATAGAACACAAAAGAGATCCCTTTTTCCTTTCTACTTCGTAATAGAAGGTATCGAATTCTAAAAGAGATATAATACCTGCATCATAAGGCCATTTTATCCATTTTTTACACTACCGTCCGTGAGTATCAGGACCGGACGCCCCTTTTTTCATGAGTGGAAAAATGCTTAAAGCGTAGAAAATAAGAATGACAAAAATTTTTCGTATTTGTTTCCTGAAAGCTAATGAAATTATGAAAAGACTGACACCTGATCGAAGAATTTTCGTTGACTATTCTGTCAGATACTGAAAAAATACTGGATTTTACATGCTTTCCGTAATTTTTTAATTTCTCGAAAACTAATTAACTTTTATTAGCGCTCTTGGTCTTGTTTTAATCTTTATTTAATGTAGAATCTAATTTATTAACTGGTATTGTGAAATAAATTTTTCCAAAAAAATTTCAAACCGTAAAAGTAGGATTAAAAAAATTCAAAAAATTATCATGAATATTAAAGTGTTAAAAAGGTCAATGTAAAATATGTTTATTTAATAGATATACTAAAATTCAAAAAAGCTTTTTAATTACTTAATTATTTAATTAAAAAAAATTTTTTTATTGAAAAAGTGTCAATCTGTATTTCAAAATTTTTTTATCCGATTTTCACAGTTTCAAATTTTTTTGGAAAAATTTATATCACAATACCATTAATTAATTTAGATTCTACATTGAATAGAGATTGAAACAAGACCAAGAACGCTAAAAAAAGTTAATTAGTTTTCGAGAAATTAAAAATTACGAAATGCATGCAAAATCCAGTATTTTTTCTGTATCTGACAGAATAGTCAACGAAAATTCTTCCATCAGGTGTCAGTCTTTTCATAATTTCATTAGCTTTCAGGAAAAAAAAAGAAAAATTTTTGTCATTCTTATTTTCCACGTTTTAAGCATTTTTCCACTCATGAAAAAAGGGGCGTCCTGATACTCACGGACGGTAGTGTATAGGTGGGTTGAATCTGGGTTTTGTACCATCCGGTTCAAAAAACTTGTGAAACAGACTCAAAATATATTTAAATATAACTACCCCTCCCTGCAACTTTTGATACATTTTTCGATCATTTTGATATATGAAGACCTTTAGTAAAGGAATCCTTTACTTGTCAATAATTAATTGTGACGGCTGCTTATGGAGACACAGACTTTGAATATATATATATATATATATATATATATATATATATATTGGTAGAATTAATTTTTTTCAGAAAAAAATTCTTATCTGTTTGAAATAACCATATCTCTAAAATTAGAAAAAACAGATGTAAATAAATATAGGCATGTTGCAAAAGAATGAAACCTAAATGTTTCTTACAATATGTACTTTGGGACAAAAATTTAATAACAAAAATTATTGGGATTAAAATATGTATTACGATGATAAACAGCGTCCATTTTACTACCATTTTCGTTATCAGCACACCAAAATACGTAAGAATATTAAGCTTCATTAATAATACAAATTTTATGATTATTTTTAGCTGCTGTCATGATGCATATGTTAAGTAGCTTAATGTCAAAGGAAGTTTTCCAAAATGGTCTTAGAAAAATTTTACAAAAATAGTAAGTTTAAATTTTAAAATATATATATTATATAGGGTAATGTCACCTTGAGTGGACCGCCTAAGCTTTTTTTCTAAAAAATTCTTTATGACAGCAAATTAATCGGAGGTTTCTATTCCAAGCTTTAGTATAGATCCCTAGATAAGTGTTTATATCATAATATCTTTGATTTTTTTTTATTTGGAAAAAACAATTGACTTTAAAAAAATAGCTAATTTTTAAGGAATGAAAAAAGTTTAACCTTAAGTGGACCACTCTTAAAAAATTGTGAAAGTTATTCTAAATTCTTTAATGTAAACCGACAGATTGGCTCAGTCGGATAGATGCCTGGCGTTGGTGGTCGTTTAAGGACCAAGGGTATAAGTACCCTTGGTTCGCGCCCACTTGGCTTGGTATTTTTCCGGCACGTGAGACAATCTGAGCGGGAGGTTTGACGTCGAGGTATAATGATGTGCACCGTCGATTATTGTCCGGTACACACCATTAGAACTCGACTGTCGATAAACCGTTTGTACTCAGAGAGGTTTTCTACAGTTTCCCTCTTCTCTGGCGAGAAAACCCATTGACGGGTGGTCCAGGCGTAATGCGAGTACTCCTAATAAAGTCGGCTGTAGACGCAAAATTAGGTTAATATATAGAAAAATTTCTAAAGTAGAATGGTTATGCTTAATCCAAAAAAAAGTATTTCTCGGGGACTCTTGTCGAAGTGCGTAAGGCCAATAGGGCAGGAGTATAAACAATAAAAAAAAAAAAAAAAAAAAAAAAAAAAAAAAAAATTCTTTAATGTATTTAATATTTCTGATATATTGAAATAAAATTTATGCTTATGCAGCTTCAGACCATGTTTGTGTCGCAATGTTTACAAGTGAAACCATTTTTAATAATTTTGGCACATATCACATAAAGATCACAAAAAAATTAATAAAGAACATAAAACATAGTTTCAAACCAATTTATTGTCAATTTATGTACATAAAAATTGTAAACTGACATTAAAAATATAAAAAACAGGCAGTCCACTCATGGTTATAAACAGTGGTCACTACTTTTACACTTTCGAATCACTTTACTTATTGTAAGAGCGACTTCTTTTTTGGTTTATGATCTTAAAAATGCGTTACATCAAACTATAACGTAAATGATTATCGCAGAACATAATTTCTTACGGTTTTTAGGTGCGGTGCTGCTATTCGTTTTATTTATTTCACGTTTCCGCTGTCAGATAACTTAAAAGCTCAGGTGGTCCACTCAAAGTGGCGGTCCACTCAATGTGACATTACCCTATTTTCTGTCGACAAATATGAACCTATAGAAATAAATACATTTTTAGCAAGTACAAAACAATAACAACCACTGATTTCTGGGAAACTATGCAAGAGGTCCTAAGTAAGTCAAAAGGAAATAATAATACTTGGAAAGTAAAAGAAGTGATGGAACTTTATATATCACAATTAGGATATCCTGTGATTAATATGTCGAGAAATTACACAACAGGAGTAATAACATTGTCTCAAGAGTGCACTGTTTGTTCCATTACGAAAATGCCATCAAAATTTTTCATTCCAATTAATTTTGCGACTAGTTCATCGTTAAATTTTACCTCAACATTTGCCAGTCATTGGTTGAGACCTGACGAAAAGGAATTAATCATTGAAGGAATTCATCCAAATGATTGGGTGATTTTCAATATTCAGAGCAGTGGTAATCCTTCTTTATTTAATATTGAATTTCTTTCAAAACTTCATTTCGCTTTATGTCTACGAATTGATTGTTTTAAATATTATTTTAGCATATTATCGAGTAAACTATGATAAAAGAAATTGGGAGCAGATAGATAAATATTTAAATTCTGAAAATTTCTCACGAATCCACGTTTTAAATCGTGCTCAATTATTAGAGAATGCATTTTGGCTTTTCAAGACGAAAAAAATTAATGAAGAATCACTAATTAATCTTACTTCATACATGAGTCGTGAGGTAGATTACATTCCATGGACTGCTGCTGATGACATTCTACTTTATTTTCATACAGAGAATGTTACATTTGATTTTAAGGTAAAAATAAGTTTCACCATGAAAATAAAAAAAACTTATATTACACTGACACGCAAGAAAATTCCAGTGCAAAGGCTGATGTATGTCAGTTCCTGTTCCTTATGATATGATGTACCTAAAGAGAAAAACGTAGTACCACCTCAACTTTGGTGTTGGTTTTTCTTTTACAGACATGGTGGAAAGGTGAAGTTTGATAAATTGATTTGCATGGAAATTTACTTAATTTTTATATTTAAAACTGAAATCGCGCTTATTCTGACTGTTAATTTGGATTCAGTTACATTATAATTACGTAAAAACTGATTATTTGAGAACTTTAAAATTTGTGGACCAAAAATTGGGTATTTTAAATTGTAGCTAAATGAGTGTATGGCGCTAAATTTAAAAAATTAAAATAGCGAATCCTATATGGGTGATCTTCAAATAACTGTCATATTTGCCTGACCCCATAAATAAATAACTAATAAAATTATTTTTTTGCCAATCACTTCACAAATCACTTAATGGAAGTCTCTTCTTAAAGATACTTAATATACAGTTCATTAACTAATCATTGTCATAGTTAAAATTAAGAAAATAAGGTAAAAATGTCAGGTCCGTGGCATAAGTTTTTTTAATTTTGTTCTGAAATTGTTACGTGATACAATATTAAGGCTGTCAAGACGAATGAATATTTCACAAATGACAAGTAACCGAACCGTCATTTGACAGACCTGTCATTCAACAGAATTGAAATTTGATAGACTCGACATATAACAGAATTGTCATTTGATAGACCCGTAAAGTAACAAAATTGTCACCTGACAACTGCAATGCGAAGGAATTGACAAACATCAGAATTGTTATGTGACAGACCCGAAATGTAACAAAACTGTTCTTTGAACAAATTGACACATAAAACAATTGTTTTTTGACAGACCTGTCATGTAACATAACAGTCACTTGGCAAAACCGTCATTTACCTGATATGTCATGCAACAGACCCGTCATTCTACAGAACTGTTTTTTGACAGAACTTTCATGTAACAGAATTGTTTTGTAACAACTCTTTTCATAAAAATGTTTATGAATTTCTGTGAATTTCCGAGAAAAGAGTTGTTACAAAACAATTCTGTTACATGATGGGTCGGTTAAGTAACAATTCTTTTATTTTACATGACAGTTCTGTCAAATGACAATTGTATTACATGTCGAGTCTGTCAAATGACAATTCTGTTGAATGACAGGTTTGTCAAATGACAATTCGTTTGAATATCAAATCTATTATATGCATTTCGGTTAAATGACAGTTCGGTTACTTGTTATTTAGGAAATATTCATGCGTCTCGAGACTATCTTTTGAGTACTTTGCTCAATTTTATTTTTAATTGACCTTTACTGGCATTATTTTGACGTGAAAAAATTGAAAAGAAAATATTTATTCGATTATTTATTTACGTATTTTAACTATGACACACATGTCAGGACCCTGACCATGTCACTTTTGCATTTTTTATTGTAACTTTAAGAATATTCAAGATCTTGTAGTTTCCTTTTAAACATATACTTCAATAACAAAAATATAGATACTAAAATGTGTAATGAATTTCAAAATTGATTCACTATTTTAGCGGAAAAACGTCTTATTAAAAAAATTACAGTAATTTTAAAATCACCTATATGTCAAGTTATAGTCGACCGAAATTGGTTTTGTGTACCTAAATTCTTAAGACTTTTAATGTGGCTTATTTCAAAATAATTTAATCATTATACTTTGAACCCAAGAGAATAAATCCTTTCTTAGAAAAGGAATGATATAAAAAGTATCTACATATCTCGAATGGCTATCGAAAAAAGTCGAATCCTTATGAAAGCTTTTTCAGCTTTAAAACTATAAAAATTACATTTATCAGTGTTCATTTCATTCCGATCCAGAAGTGATTCACCGGCGAACTTCATATTTGTAGGAGTGCAAGGCTGTAGCGTAGTAGATTTGGTATGGTGTTCTATGTACGGGCTTTTAATGTAGGATGACTTTCTAGTTCTCGGCCTCCCTAATCTTTCTAACCATCTTCCCATTCTTCTAAAATTACATAAATATTTTTTCTAAAATGTGAAAGAAAATACTTTGACTTCGGATTCAGGTAAATGAAAATTAATATTTGATTTCAATTCGACTATAGAAATTACATTTCTAATATGGCATTGAGGGCGGAGGTCGGGAATTTGGATGCAGATATCGGGTGCATAAACGCCAATCTCGTGTCTTGCATAACGGATGTCGCTTCTGAAAAAACAAAAAAATAAAAAAAAATTTGTTAAATTAGTTTCTCTTTTAGTGATTAATTTCAGAGATTTAATTGATACTTTTTACTGGTGTTGAGTAATATTTCGATTGGATTTTTTATGTAAATTACGCAATTTTACAAAGTGGTTATACCATGACGCGAAAACGAGGGACAAGAAATAATTACAAAAATATTTTAAAAAATAAATTTTGTTTTCACAAGTGTTTTGTTTTTCTCAATTATACTAACATAGACAATAAGAAAATGTCAATATTCATTATATTTATTATTATATTTTACTAAAAAAATAACATTTTATATATGAAATAGTAGTGGGGACTAATTACACAATTACGATTTGGCACCTTAAAACATATTTATAAGCAACATTATAAACTTTTAAATGAAAACGACAATAGACTTTTATTTGTTATCATGGAAATAAGTTATCCACGTTGGATTTATTACAATATATGAAACTAATTTCTTAAAAAACACGTGGGACATTAAATTCTACGCTACGCAGAGAATCACCCAAATACAATAATTCTTTTTCATTTGCTTCTTTTATTGCCAATTCGGTTCAATTTAATAATAGTCGACCTGCACCTTATTGCTTTAAAATTCAAGGTCAAATTTATTATCAAACGAACACATCTTTATATCCTTCTAATTATGAACTACCAAGTTTTGGACAACTTTTCATTATTGATACCAAAGAAGCAACAAATTATAGAATAAACATATATGTTCCACAGTAAATGCTTTAAATGCTATTTACAATACAATGAGACAAGACAATATATTTGCAAAATCATTACAAATTATAAAAGAAGAATTGAATGTCATAACAATTCAGAACAATGGTGTAGAACCTGAATTGCAATTAATGTTTACATTAAAAAAAGAGTTAGATAAAAGACGTTATAATTTTCAAAAAAAGAATGAGGTTTCAGCAATATTTTCTACTACTTCAGATGGTGAAATTCCAGAATCGTATATATCATAATACGTAACAGAAACACCAAACACTTACAATATGTTAGTTCAATGGACGCAAATATTGAACCATGGACTTATCCATTATTCTATCCACAAGGAACGAAGGGTTGAAGTGATGATATAAAAGTGGTTAATAGTAATCGTACAGTTACAAGAAATGCATATATTAAATATCGAATGGCTATTTGATATGATAAGAATTATATTTTAATGGTACGTCGTTCGTTTCAACAATTGAAAGTCGGTAACTATGTTAAAGTTGAAAAAGATAAAATGAATTATTTAAGAAACAATCTTTTTTTTTTAAAAATAAAATATTTATTACAGTTTTATTAGTTAATTTCAAAAAAGTATGTACACTATAAAATTAATACAAAAAGTGTTTAAAAAAATATTTAAATTTTTGAAAAGGAATATAGGCAAAGGAATTAAAGCATAAGACACAAAGTCATAAGTCGATCATAAGTAACATAGAAAAGCATCGAGGCGGAAAATTTTCAAAGAACAAGTTTTAATCACTTGAGCAGCTTGGCTTAAAAGCGAAAAAAGTGTCAAAACTTGAATGCGATTTGATAAGTCTGCAAAAAGATTTATAATATCAAAACATAGTATTCTATCTTTTTAAAATTAAGGAACGTGTATATTTAGAACTGAAGAGAAATAATTTTCTTTTTTAAGCAAATTCCATAAAAAGAAATTTTACATATTGTTGTGGAAATAAAATAAATAAAAGAAAACTCCATCATCAATAAAGCCGGTCAAGTCGAATTTTGTTAATTTAAAATTTTTTTTTGGTCCATCATATTGGATCCGACATTTAGAATTTTTGAGAACCGAAATTAGTTTCGTTTACAGCGACCCCAAAACCCTCAGTGACAACATATTTAGTTTTTTGTATATTCAGTTTTTACGGAATTATAGTTACTGAATTCAAATCATCAGTTAGGGTAAGCGTAAACTCAGTTTTAAATACAGGAAGTAAGCAAAATGCAAATTAATTTCTTTAATTTATTACTTCACCAGTTTTGCAGATGGACAAGCAGCGCCAAACTCGTGGTCGAGATACATTTTTCTCTTTAGATACATTAGAAAGAGAACTTACTGCATGTCAATCTTCGCACTGGAAATTTTTAAAAATTTTGTTTGACAATGTTATTTAAGAAATGATTTCTTTAATTATTTGCGTAAACTATTGTTGATTAAAAATCATTTTAGAAATATACACTGAATCTTGTAAAAGCACTTATCAAAGATGCGGGTGTCGATGGAAAAGAAAATGACGATATTTTTACAGTATTAAAACGATTTATTGGCACTTATTGGAGTTGTGCTTTAGACAAGCGACATTGCAGTAAAGTCAATTGGTAATTGAACATAATGATAGACTTAAATTACCGTAAGTGAGGCTAAATTCGCTCAATTTTTCAATTCTTTTTTTAATAACTTCGAGAAACGATGAAAATAAACATTGGCACTGAAAATATATAATCTTTAATCCTTTATCTTTCCTATTACTGCATAAAGAAATTAAAATATGTTGCAGAAAATTATTTATAAGCCGTTTTTTTGTGAGCGACTTTACCTTTAAATGATGGGTAAATTCGCTCACCATTATTATTCTGGCAAAATATATTATTGTTGGGTTTTTAATATAAGTAAAACACAAAAAGGTATTTTAACAATTAATTTATTCAGTTAAATGCAATATTAAAGACATAGAAATGACAAAGGTTTATCGAGTAAAAAGAACGAACACGTTGTTACTCAGTTAACTGTTCGTTGCCGACTAACTGACGGATCACACCTAAAATAAGGTGCTTGTACTTAGGTAATAAAGTTTACCTTAAACGAAAATTTGCAGGTATACGCTATGCTGAGTTTAGAAAATGACACAGAATTAAGAAACATTTAGAAAATGGAAATTATTTCTAACATTTTCAACACTCCCGCTTAATTTTAAGGTTCTAAAACTTTTAATTCTGTTCGCAAATAACAAAATTGCTGTTTAGTCAATAGCTTAGTAAAAATATCAGCTAGTTGATCTTTCGATTGCACATATGAAATATCAATTTCTTTTCTATTTATTATGTAGTGAATAAAATGATACCTAACATCAATGTGCTTTGATCGCTTATGATTTTCAAGACTGTTCGACATTTTTATTGCTGCTTGATTATCAACAATAATTTTTACAGTAGTACATTCAACATTAAGTTCATTCAAAAAACGACGTAACCATACAGCTTCTTTTATCCCGTGAGATAAGGAAATGTATTCGGATTCAGCGGTAGATAATGCTACTACACTTTGACGCTGGCTAGACCATGATACAGGTGCACCATTTAAAATGAATACAAAACCGCTTCTTGATTTTCGAGAATCAGGGCAACCTGCATAGTCAGCGTCTGTGAAACCTTTTAATGACAATTGACTTCCGCTGTTTCCGAATACAATGCCATAGTTGACAGTACTCTTTAAATATCGAAGAATTCTTTTAACATATTCCCAATGTTTTCTAGTGTAACAGTTCATAAATTGACTTGCATAATTTACCGCAAATTCAATAACTGGGCGACTAATCCTGGCAGCAAATAATAATGAATCTATTGCTTCACGATACGGAAGAATTAAATTGCTTGGATCTTCGATTTTCTCATTCTTACACAGGTACATACCTGGCTCGGCAGGTATACTTGAAGGTTTCGCGTCTTCGATGTTAAATCTCTCTAATACTTTAGAAATATAGCTTGATTGACAAATTTTTAAAGTACCTTTTTCTCGATTTCGATAAATCTCTAAACCTACAAAATCGCATGCTTCATCGACGGTAATTTTGAAACGGTTTTTCAACGCATTCAGTACATCATCAATTGCGCTTTTGCTTTTACTCATTATCAGACCATCATCTACATACAACGCTAAGTACACAACACTCTGATTTACTGTCCCTACAAAAACACATTTTGCACTGTTGATATTTATAAAATTGAAACTTTTCAAAAAATTTACAAATTTTTCATTCCAACACCGAGGAGATTGTTTCAATCCATAAAGGCTTCGGTGTAATTTGTAGACATAATTGCTTTTGTCTTCATTGATGTATCCTTGGGGCTGCTCACCATAAATAAAGGCTGTTTTCACATTGAATTTCATTATTTCAAAATCTTTTTGAGTTGCTATGGCTAATAAAATGCGGATGGACTCATATCTTACAACAGGGGCAAATGTATCAAAATAATCTATTCCCTCACGCTGAGAGAAACCTTTTGCTACAAGTCTTGCTTTAAAACGCTTTAGATTTTTGGAGGGATCTGTTTTAATGGCAAAGACCCATTTTGAACCAATTGCTCGCTTTCCTGGTGGCAATTTTGATAGAGACCAAGGTTGATTTTCTTCCAGAGCTGCAATTTCTTAATTAATGGCTTGTTTCCATTTTGCTGCATTTTGATGTGATTTTGCTTCGTTATATGTCGCGGGTATATCATTTACACATAACGCTACAGGGATTCCATACCGGTCAGGAGGACGAATCAAATCGCGATTTCTTAACTTTCTACCTTGTTGCTCATCAGCAATCTCGACATTTTCTTCCAGATGTTAAGGGATTTCCGGAGGGGCTGGGTCTTCCAGATGCTCAGGATTTGCAATAAAATTTCCATTTTCTCTTGGCTCAGTATTTACGTTGAAATCAATTTCAATGGAAAAATTACCTGCTTTGTTATCTTGAAGGCTGTAGATATTTTCGTTAAAATCCACATCGCTGCTAATGTGTATTTTACAATTCTCACTGTCCCAGAGTCTGTAATTACACGATTCACCATCATAACCGACAACAATAACCTTTTTACTTTTCGGATCAAGTTTATGACCCTTTTTTTGGCACATTTAAATAGGCTTCAGTGCCAAACACTTTCAAATGCTTTACCTGAGGTTTACGACCAAACCACTTTTCATACGGAGTTTCTGTTTCCCCTGCTTTTAAAATTACCCTATTTAAGACATAACATGCGGTGTTAATAGCTTCTGGCCAAAGTTTATTATCAACCTTTTTTCCTAATATCATCGTTCTCGCGCTTTCTACAATTGTCCTAATCTCCCTTTCAGCACGACCATTTTGCTCATGGACATAAGGAGATGAGAATTTATGAATAATACCTTTTTCTGCCAGGTAGCTGCAAAACTCGGCAGAAATATATTCTCTTCCATTGTCAGATTTAAGAACTTTTATTTTTGTACCTAGCTGCGTTGATACAAAAGCTTCAAATTCCTTGAATTTATTAAAGACTTCCTATTTATTGCGAAGAAAAAATGTTTTTCTAGAGCTTGTACATTCATCTTTGAATAATAAGAAATATCGAGTCCCGCGCGGTGATTCTATATTAACCGGACCACAAACATCTGTATGAATTTTCTCACCAGGGCCAAAATTGCTTTCAGTTTTAGATGTATAATAAGATTTACGCGTTTGTTTTCCTAACATACATGTTTCACAAAAAAATCCGTTTTTTCATTCGTCAAATTACATAACTTAAGTTTGTTACATGTGCTTTTCACTGCTTGAATGTTAATATGAGCCAAACGTTCATGCCATAATTGATAATTTTATCATGCCTGTTTTTTATATTTTTAATGTCAGTTCACCATTTTTATGAATATAAATTGACAATAAATTGGTTTAAAACTATGTTTTATGCTCTTTATTAATTTTTTTGTGATATTAATGTGATGTGTGCCAAAATTATTGAAAATGGTTTCACTTGTAAACATTGCGACACATACATAGTCTGAAGCTGCATAAGCATAAATTTTGTTTCAATATATCAGAAATATTAAATACACTAAAGAATTTAGAATAACTTTTACAATTTTTTAGGAGTGATCCACTCAAGGTTACACTTTTTCATTCCTTAAAAATTAGCTATTTTCTTAAAGTCAATTGTTTTTTCCAAATAAAAAAAAATCAAAGCTATTATGGTATAAACACTTATCTAGGGATCTAAACTAAAGCTTGGAATAGAAACCTCCGATTAATTTGCTTTCATATAGAATTTTTTCGAAAAAAAGCTTAGGCGGCCCAGTCAAGGTGACAGTACCCTAAGAGTAACCAACACAAGCAGAATCGTAGATTTTTGAAAAAGTTAAAGATAAGACAACATTTAATCAATATTCTATAAAACAATTACTTTTTTAACTCATTTTAAATATTATGCAGTACATGAATTAATTCTTCCTGATATTTCTTTTCATTACCTATTTTTAGATGACAATGAGCTCGTCTACTTAGACGCCTGGCTGGGACTATGGGAATTACATTTAAAATCGTTAGAGTTAGAATAAGTCAGCGTAGACAGAGGGTTAATTTATTCACCTACTTATTAAAAAAATTGTATTGTATTATTTAAATTATTCTTCCCACGCAGCACAAAATCTTCCCAAAAGTTCCCGGGAAGCTTCCAGTGACAATTTTTAAGGTAATTTTCTTGTTGACCAGGGGTTCAAAAAATTTAAGAAACTATTTCGAAAATGAATTTTATTATCAAAAGTCAATTTTTTATAACATAACAACCTCGTGTACAAAATTTGTAAAAAAATGCTCAAATTCAGTTGAAATTATTCAAGGCCTAAGCACGTTCGCGAACGTAAAGTTTATTGTGCGTTGAACTTTCAGGGAGAAGACCTAACCTAAAATTGATTTCGGCATCTGTAAAAGGTAGAGGTGACAACTCATATTTTAATAGTAGAGGAGTAGAGTCGAGGTCGAACCACCCTTTGACCTTTGTTTATTATATTTTTTAAAAATGAAGTTCGTTAATTGAAGCATATTCAGAGTTACCACGCTACCTGAAAAACCTGTAAATGTCAGGAAAAATTAACCTTGAAAAACCTGGAAAAGTCAGGGAATTTTGATCGAAATCCTGAAAAATTGTTGTTTTCTAAAGTTATTGTGTTTGTTCTTGAAATCTAATATTGGTTAAATATTTCAAAATAAATTCAATTTTAAAAGAGTTGCGTTTACAATTTTCATAAGTAGATGAACTTCAAAAGATTTTGATTTGAAATTTTGTAAAATTTCAAATTTTAAATGAATTTATATAGAAATTTTAAAAAACCTAGTTTTTAAAAAAATTTAATAACTAAAATTCTTCTAAAATTAGTTAAATTTTTTAAAATATATATTCCACGTCAAACGGAACAGAGCTGTAGCCAAAAATTGGCGCAATGAAAAAAATCGGTTAAGGGCTTAGAAAATTCGTACAATCGTGTACTTTCGAAAGCATTTGTGCGATCTTGAAAATTCAATATAGCGGCTTAATTATAAGCGAGCAAAGTCAACAAAATTGTGAACCCACAAATAATATCATAAATAAAAATAAAAAAATCCATGAAAAAAAATTGATCGAACATTTTTTTAACGTTTTTGGGGTCGCTTAACACTTTAACGCCCAAATGGACAAAATTTTGGAATGAAGTTTGAGGACTTATTTCGGTACTTAAAAATCAAAAGAAAAATTCACGAATCATCATTTCTTATGTTTTCATATGCGCTCTATCGAATGGAGTTAAAAAAAAAGTTAAAAATTTATAAACAAAAAAGTTATTAATGTTTTTTATAAAAAA